GCACAACATATTCAGAATAGATAAGTGATGGCTCTAATTTCAATATATGCCTTGAAATTTTAAAATTTAGTGGCAAAACGAGGAGGGGAAAATTAGGTATTCGTGTCTATTGTGATTTTACCATTGACTGATCTTACCATCTTGATTTTTATTTATCTGTGGTTGGATGAGTGATGACGGAGTAAAAAAACAATCATATTTATAACCGTATGCGTAGACTATAAAAAGACTTCCACATTTAGTTTAGTACCGTATCGTACTATCTTTTAAATTCTTTCAATTCTTTTTAATATTTCAATGAAGTTTAAATAATATCACCATATTTAGACTCGGAATTGTCAAGAATAAAATCATAGATTTTGCTTTTCCTCGGCACCCCTGTTCAACCTTTTTTGTTCTTGTCGAAAGATTGAAAATAAAAATAAGTAAATAAATAAATAAACTTTGTTCCCCAATATAATAATTTGTAGTACGACTGGATGTCGTAGAATCCAACATTTTTATTTATTCTGTTAACGGAAATTGCTGGCTCCTGTTTTAATGATAATGGCGATTGAGTTGAAATGACCAAATAGGCCTAATATAATGTTAGTCCTGACTATTATTACTGCAGTGGATTTGGCAAAGTATACTTTTGCGATTATGATGGGATTACCAAGTTATCAAATTTCAGCCACAGACCGAAAAATTAGTTTTCAATGATTTGAAAACTTTTATGATGATACACTTTTATCTTTTATGATGATACTTTTATGATGATAATCTTTAAATTTATGATGATAATCTTTAAATTTGCTGGCAAATTTAAGTGCATAGGCCTATCTATATTACAAAGATTATAGTATTATTGACAAGGATATTTTTCATATATTTCAATTTTTAGACCAAAGCTAATAACTTATTAAAATATACAAATTAAGAAATTAGTTTAGGCCTATTTATTATTTTATTTTCATGTTTATATGTATAGCTGTATATAGGCCCTATATAGCTGCCAGTTTATGGGCCTATCTTAAAATAGTTTCTCTAAAAAAACTGACTGATAAGTAGACTAAATTCAGTCAACAAAAATACATGGTTATCAATAATTCTTGAAGGGTCCAGTCCGGGTTTGACAAAAACATATTTCATGCCTAAATATATTCATAATGACATCACATCATGACCATATATATGTGCATAAAACAGGTTTTTTTTCCCAAAAAAATGCAAAAGTCTGTACAGAGCTTTACAGCAAATCAAGAGATGAATAGTTCAGGGTGTTTGCATAAGCGCCTACTGGAGTGGACAGGTCAAGATCATGTGTACATAAGCATGAGAAATAAATGGTGGTTCCCACTGAAATCTCGTAAAGATGCTGTGTAAGCCTATGATTACACACTTGTAAATAAAAAGTTTCGCAAACATTTTTAGTGGTGGCGCGCTCTTATCTTAGAGAGAGTAGAAATAAATAAAGGAAATGAAAACACGTCTAAACGTTAGGGAGGGTCAGGTTCACTAAAGAGTAATCATGATGTTATTGTAAGTAAATGTAGACTATTTAGTAAATTATGTTCAAATGAAACTTCGTATGATAATTGTTGGTATTTTTGTATTGGAAGACTGTAGCTAGCTAGGCCAGGGCCTGCGTACGCCACACCTACAGTACATGTCATTAGTGTTGCACCGCCAGGCCAGGCCTGCAGGGTCCGACCTAGCAGGCCCTACCTAGTATACCCTGTAATTTAGCCTACGGTTCACCACTGAGGCCAAATAATATCAAAGACTTACAACAAGAATCACTATGAATAATAATAATAATAAAAATAATAATAATAATATTAATAATAATGTAATAGTAAATAATAATAATAATATAATAATAATAAATAATAATAAAGCAGATCTAGGCCTAGGCCTATAGGCCTAGTAATAGTAATGGCCTTGTCACACCTTGATGATTTAGTCAGCGTAAATTTCTCTAAAACGCTGGCATACCCTGAATTTTCGATGCCTTTTTTCAACTTTGGGTGCATTCATAGCGTATTCATAATAACGTATTGGACGTATAAACAGCGTAACTATTACTGCTATAAATAGTAGTAACTTATATGGAACATTTTGATCACTTATATAAAACTTACACGAACGAATGCTTCAAGCGTGTTGCCGGAGTTCACAACTTATGCCCAGCGATAGTCTACCTTAGCAGCACAGGGCACCGCAGCGTATCGCCGATGATCATGTGACGTAGCCTATAAAAAGGCTGTCGCTCGTTGATTTATATTATAACCGCATCAGACATCGCAGTATCTACATCACCGTATTGACATCACCACATTTTAATATACTTATTTCCCTAAACGCTGCTAATACGCCATTATACGATAACTGTAAGTTAGAAACACGTTCAGTAAGTTTTGTGGTCGTCTGGAACATGTTAAATACGTCTACATACATCAATATACATTGGAGATAAGTTCGAAGCACGTTACTCATAGGTTAGAATTATGTTTTGACTTTTGAGCATTAACTTACAAGTAATGTGTGTCAATGATCGCTTAACTTACCTACAACTTATGGCCCACGTATGCGGAACGTATGAGCCATACGCTAGCATATGTCAAAAAGTTTTGTGCATGATTTAGAGGTACGCATTCAGCTTAAATACTGTCAACAAGTCATTTTGTTGCAATTTCTGTAACGGGTCAAAAGTCTGACGTTTATTAAAGAAATATTTACCAGGGATTTTTTGATAAGTTATTTTAATGATAAAATGTACAAATAAATAAGTTTAAGGAGTTTAAAAACTGTCAAGCAGAGGCTTATCATTGTGTAAAAAAAACTGCCACCTTGCGATTTGTTTTGATGTTTGTTATACCCACTATAACAGCTTTAGTTTGGTGACTAATTCGGTCTATTGTATTTGTAAACTGTTTAGGGGTAGCTTGTGCATATTTTAGTTAATTTGCACTTTTTTGATACTTTTCCTTTATTCATCTGGGTGGCTGCATGCCTGACCAGCATGATGGGGCTTATCATCGGAACGCGGAGTGGTTGGAGTCATGTGGATGTGCATGGATTGTGTGATGGGGAGAGATGGTGAGGCAATGGGGGCGGGGGGAGGGTGTGATGGCAATTTTTTTCGGGGTCTTACATTTGAAAACTTATTATTAGTTTGATGATGACTTATATTGAGGTCCATAGCTGAATTGCAAAAGTTTATAATATGTTATATTAAAAAAACAGCATAAAATTAACAACAAAACAAAAACAAAAAATGCAGAAATTGACATAAAAAATTAAAGGAAAAAGAAAATTTGTCAAAAGCAGTAGGCCTACGTACATCAAAATGCAATAATTTAGACCTAGGCCTTACATGTTACACTTTCAATCATAAAAGTCTACAGCTATTAATTGTGCTCACTTTTTAGCTTTGGCCCAATGAATCTGTTAAACTATGAAACTAATTCCTATAGTAATATTAGTTTTCAGTATTGGTAAATCCTTAATAAATGCAAATATTATTCATATTTTTCCTATTAGTTTCCAACCGTGTCCCACACACACATGTCCTATCATTTAGATAGAAGGGAACATCAAAAGTACTATTGAAACCATAAACAAGAACAATATCAATAATTATCAAAATATAAAAAGATATTTAAAGTCAACGATCGAGTATAGAGGACAGTAAAAACATAAAAAATAAACAATTCAGTCACATTGTTCACAATATAAAAGATATTAAAATCATTAAAAATTTACATCAGTAACTGTCAAGTAAAGAGAACATCAAAAATATGATTAAAAACATAAAAAATAAACAATTCAGTCACAACACCTAAGGAGTCAACGTCAAAAATATGATCAAAAAACACTTTGAATAAAAATCAATATAAAAAGCATTAAAAACAAGTAAAAAAAAAATCAGAAAAAGTGACTGTTAATGAGGTTGGTGAGGAAAGGGATAGCAGTAAGTCTTGTAAAGTTTGCAATCTGCCTGCACAGTTTGAAACAACATCCGTCACTCAAAATGAGCAAAAGCTCAAACTGCGCACAACACAATGGAAAAAAATTTAACTAAATAGTAAATTACATTGTCCTTTTTTAAGCAACAAAACAGATCTGTATTTCAGTGAAAGCTCAGTGGCCAATTTTATTTTCCCAACCCATCTAGCGAACTAATTTGCCAGCATGGGGGATCCTGCACCCACAGCCTTTCTTTCCTGTCTCTCATATGCTCCCTGTGTATTCAAAATCTAGAATCTAATGCATACATTGGAAATATACACTTGCTATTTATAATATCAGTTTTGCCTTAAATCTCTAGTAAATGAATTTATACAATATTTCTATAGATCTCCAACAATATTATTACAGTAAATAATTTTTTTTTTGTCATTGATTTCAAGAGATTGGATATTAAAGAATAGAAGTAAGCGATGGAAAGTACCCTTGAAACCACCAAAGCTAAGTGACACAAACAGTAATGAAGAAGACAAAAATCATTTGAAAGAAGATGAAAAGCAATTGAAAGAAAACAAAAAACAATTGGAAGAAGACAGTAGACAAGTGGAAGAGGAACAAAAACAATTGGATGAAGACAAAAAACAATTAAAAGACAAAAAACAATTGAAACCATTAAAATCCCATCAAACAAGAAGGTACAGTAATCATGTTTATTTTTGTATGTTTGTATTCATTTCTATTGTATTTGATTTTAGTTTTATCATTTTTTTTTTATATCTTTCAGAAGTAAATGCAATATTGTCCTTGAAATAGTCGTAGTATTTATTGGATCAATTTTAATGTTTTTTGGTTTTATCCAAGGACCACTACAACCAGCATCATTCAAGTGAGTATTTTGTAAGGATCAACTTTTATAGTTAAAAAAGAAAATTCAAAGGTAAAATCTAGAAAAACACTAACAATATTATATTTAAAAAATTGTATTTTAATTTAAAACAAACAAACTGTCATTAACTCCCAGTGTGACACAGACTGTAACCATTGCTGATTCATAGATATCACTATGATTTACTGTGAGTCTGTGAGTACTGGGGCATCCAGATGCTTGCAGGATGGGGTACAGAAAGAAAAAGAGCACTCCTGTATAAATGACCTAATTTTAAATGACGTGGGGAACCGCCTTCTGTCTTGTACTCTCCCATCTTTTGAGAGAATTTAAAGCCAAAAATAATATTAGATTAGCATGAAAGATATTCTCATTAATGAACCCCATGCCCCCCCCCCACCTAAGAAAAAAACAAGTATTAACAGTGTATTGTATTATAAATTCGGAAAAAACCCCCTTTTTTTTTTTCTTTTTTTTTTTCTAGGCTTCCAGCCCCACCAAAATTTGAAGGAGTATTAGCTGCAAATACCAAACTGCAAGAAGCAACAAACATTTTTCAAGGGAGAGTATTTGGACCAGAATCAATTGCAATTAAAGATGGTTAGTAAGGCTTATAACCTCATTTAAAAAAGAACAAGAAATAAACTTGATAATAATAATAATAATAACTAGCATATGTGCTCCGCACGGTACGGTGTTGAATGATTGGGAAAAGGTGGCGATCATGTACATTGTTAAATGAAGAAGTTGAGGAGGCAAGATGTTATGGAATACCATATTGTTATTTTTCTGAAGGATGTCTTTGTAGTTAATGTTTTAAGTGTCTTTGCTGCACACTGCAGTCCTTGTGAGGAATTATTTTGCAGTGTGATCAAAGGTGGATCCAGAATGTTTCAAACTGGGGTTGTGGGGGGGGGGGGTGCACAACAGTTTCAGAATAATTGAATAAGCGAATAGCACATATATTGCATTGAAATTTGTGAAAAATTTGTGGCAAAACCCTTCCCAGTGACATCCCTCTTCCCTACTGGATTTCCCCCTTTGGGCTACCCTAACACTACAATATATCCAGTGTAATGCAATGGGTACTCCGAAGAGGTAAGGCAACATGCATGTCACCCATTTTGTTGACGAACGTGAGAAGTGCTGGGCGGTGACGTAATGAAGCTGCGAAACATAGACTGGTTCTTTTATGGCCTGACTCGATAATTTTTAGACATTAATTAATTTTTAAGCATTGCAGTACAGAATAGATGTGATTAATTGTATTAACATGACGACACAGGTACTGACTTTTTGTGGTTTTTGGCTGTTTTTTTGTTGTTATCCAATATCCAGCCTTAAAAAGTGCCGGAATGTGGTCGTGACATATAGAAGCCCCAGTGTATGAGATATGAGCACATTCCTGCCAGCGGTTTCAGAGGAGATAGGGAAAGTTACGCAGTGGCGATTAGCAAGCTTAATATATAAATAATAAAAACTTTATTTAACTACAGAAACACTTGTTCACCACAGTGGTGTTTTTCAACAAGGCCGTAAAGGCATTGTAAAACTCAACAAAACAGAAATTAAAACAAAAAGGATTTATATATTAAAATGAATTAAATATTGAAACTTAAGAAATTAGCAAGAATTTTTCTTGTTCTTTTTTTCCTGATGGTAGGTGTTCTGTACACAGGCATAGATGATGGTCGGTTAGTTGCAATTAATGGTACTGAAGTTAATACTATAGCATCATTTCATGCAAGTAATGATGAGTCTATACCATGTGGTAAGTAACATTTATTTAGAGAGGTACCATGAAGCTCTGTCCAGACTATCTTTGACAAAAAACTGTTGTATGTCCAGGGCCATATTCATGATGTGCCTTTACGTGTCACCAACCTGAGAGATTTGAAATGCATGGCTACACCAGTTGGGTGGGGGCGTCTGGGCCACTGGGGTCAGGGGCGGAACCCTGGAGGCAAGGGTTCCAGTCACATAATCAGTGGTTGGTTGTGACAATGACACGCAAGACCGCACGCGACTACCAGACACTAAGTGCATGGTTGGCTGGGTTGTTTTGGTCGGTAAATTGATTTTCAAACAAGATAACGAAAGCTCTCTAATGACTCAATCTACTGCATGACTGTTTTTATATTTTATAGTAAAAACAATTTATTCTAATTTACATTTTTCCATGAATTTGTAATAATTCGTTATCACGCATAGACTTGTGCAAAATGTGTGACAAACTTCTGATCATGCATGTGTTTCTGCAAAATGCATGTTTCATCCAAAATCACTTTGAAATGCTGGGGTGTCCTACCTGATGAGAGACGGTAGTTAACTATGCTTTATATGGTCATGATGTGATGTCATCATAACCATATTTGTGTGGTCTCAACACGAACTGAGATGCATCGTTGGTGAAATAATATTGAGATATTCACCAAAATAGGTCAAAGGCAACATTTTTACAAAATTTTGATTTTAATGTTTTTGAATAACTTGATACTTAATGAGATGCATCGTTGGTGAAATAATATTGAGATATTCACCATAATAGGTCAAAGGCAACATTTTTACAAAATTTTGATTTTAATGTTTTTGAATAACTTGATACTTATATTTTATCATTGTGTACTTTTTAAGTGAATTTTCCTACTAAAACAGTGTTCTCTTCGCATATTCTGTAATCCTAGTCCTATTATTTGTACAGGTTAGTTTATCTTTGAGGCCGATTTTCTCAAAACCTGGTTCTCATACACCTAAACTTTAAATGCTAACATCTCTGGATTTATTTATCCTAGGGAAGCCATTCAAAGATAAAATTAAAGCTTATAATATGATCTACCAAAATGTAATATAAACTAATTTTTTGATATTATAACGATGAGACTCATTTTGTAGTGAGACCAGTGGCGTAGAAAATATTTTTCATTGGGGGGGATGATTGGCGTGTTAGCCAGTGTCGTAACAGGCGTGGGGGGCAGGGGGAAAACTGCCCCTCCCCTGACGGTTTTTATTGGGCTGACCAAGCCGTCGTACCGGGCTGGGTAATAAGAGAAAAGAAAGA